ATTTCCACCCAACAGTACAGTATATTTAAATTGACTATGATAACATGAAAAACAAGTACGATCGTACTATAGTGGACCAGGAACTGCGTGACTCAGTTTGTGCAAATCGTTAAATGTTCCAAACTTTCGAGACTCAGCTTTGACTTGATAAACAAATAACTAGACACTTGTAAAACTAATTATTCTCAAGACAGCGTAGACTGAGTTCACTAAATGTTTTGCTTTAATTTGGTCATGCATGCAAGATATACTTTATCCGGGCAAAAATATGTGTTTGTCTAGTCATGATGAGTGTAAATCTGGACAAAGCATAGATAACTAAATGCGCAGTTTTCAAAAGTATATACTCGCATTCGAATTAGATAGATTAAGACTAAACATACCGTGCCTAAATTTAACTTTTGTCGTAACAAATTTTGCCTTGCCGTGCGTGCCATTGCAAAATATTGCAGCTGCAGTCGTGTACGTGCCGTGTAAACGGGACTTAAGTTAAGGTAAAAATTTATCGGCTGAATTGTTGCTATAGGTTAATGCAGATCATTTCGCTTGGTAATGGCTTCATAACTGCATGCTTGTGCTAAAAACATGTCATGTCTTTGTTTTTATGGATAAGAGTACTGTATAGTACTCCTCTGCGCTTTGAGAAACTAAGCCAGCGTGTTAAATTGGTCAACTTAAGTCTTAACGCTTATAATTAATCGTTATAATTAGTCGTCCACATTCTTGAGAAGCTTTAGACTATTGTGATTGTGTTCACAACGAACAATAGAAAAGACAATGTCTTTCTTATCATTTGCGTTTGCTGATATATTTGCTGAATATTAATGATATGTATATATTAATTGCTACGAATACAGTAAAAAATTGCTCATATTTCGCTTCTAAAGTCAAAAATGAAAAATCGAACACCGTCAATCGATGCGGAATATTGCTTAGAATAATTTTGTCAAGTTTCATTCCGATCGGACAAGTAACGACGGAGTCTTAGGGTTTTTTCAAAGAGCGTCGCCCCCTAACAACAACAAGAAGAAGATTAGCAGCGATTGGGGACCAGTTCCTGGTCCAAAAATTTAATTTTATTGTTATTTGGATTGCTGACAAGCTAGAAACATGTTTACGTATTTCTTTAGTGGTTTTGTGAAGAAAACTCAAACTAAAATACTAGTTTACGCATTATTTGATTGACATCTGAATTCAAGTATCAAAATAGTAATGCATGTGAATTGTATAAAAATTATATACTATACAGCAAAAAATTGCCATCGTTGCTGCAGTGATCCATAGCATTTTGTTCCCCCTCTACATCAATTGCCGCGTTAAAATTCAAGCCCTGAGTGCAATGCATCTTAGTGAGTTAACCCAAAGCTGCAATGTGCCTGGCTATATTATATCACTCTCGTGAATGCCATCAAGGGGAGGATTTTAAATTATTTTACATCCTCAATAATTAATTTTGGAATTTTTAGATATGTTGCAAGTCCCAAGAATGCCTGAAGTTGTTGGCTGAAGTTTTGTAAACCACAAAAAGAACACTGTCATTGGAAAGTATATTAACAGGTCTTGATATTTTTATGTCTTATTTTATGTATCTCATGCTTTGAAAACTATATGGTTGCTGTGATCAATGGCCGATTCTACTTTTGAGTTCAAAAACTTAAAAAAGCTAGCAAAAAATGCAAAATTAATAAAAAGTTAAAACAAAAATAATAATTGATTGTGAATCCACAATATGTTTTATGACTGCACATTATTTTTTATGACTGCTAATTATTTTTTATGACTGCACAAGCCTTTCAAATGGCAGGTGTAGATTTGGAAATTGCAGTTTTACGCTCTGTTTTGTTGAAGTCAC